TCTCCAGGCCCCTGCCACTCTCTGACACACTGCTGTGGATTGCAGAGGAGGACGCGGTGGTCACTGTAGCGCTGGGAGACCAGGGTGAGCCCCTGGTTCGGAAACGAACAGTTGGAATCCTAGACATGGGCGGTGCCTCCCTGCAGATTGCCTACGAGGTCCCCGACTCTGGAGCCTTCTCCTCCCCGCAGCAGGTGTGTATCTGGCCAGCTGACCCCAAGAGCAGCCCCTGCCTTCCCTGGGTTGCTGCTGATCACAGACCTCTCTGTCCCCAGGAGGAAGCTAAGAGCTTGTTGGCAGAATTCAACCTTGGCTGTGATGTGCAGCACACTGGCCACGTGTACCGTGTCTATGTCAACACTTTCCTGGGCTTCGGGGGCAATTTTGCCCGGCAACGCTATGAGGAGCTTGTGCTGAACCAGACCTATGTGCACAACCGGTACATGCTGCTTTGCCTAGCAGTGCCCTACTGAGGCATTGCAAAGTGGGGTGCTGGTTCCTTCACACTGCCCTCTCCCTGTTGCATTTGACCTGATTGCTACTTTTTTTTTGGCAGCAGCTGTGTGGCAGCAGCTGTGTGGCAGCAGCAACTGCCTGCGCTGGCACAGGGTGCATGGGCACTGCCCTTCTCTGAGCCCGGCAGGCGTCATCACAGTGCAAGAGCTCTCTGCCTTTCTCCTCCTCCCCTCATGGCAGGCTGTGAGGAGGCTCCTTGGGTGGCTTTCAGCTTTTCCTGCTCTGACTTTCCCTCTTTCTCCAGCACTGATTCACTCAGCCCATCTTTCCATCGCATCCCCACCTTGAACACTCTGTCTCCTGTCTCCCCTTCCCAGAGCAGTACGTGAAGCTGTTGCCAGAGGCGGAGAGGCTTGGTGCCCAGGTAGTCCTGTGCCGGGAGCAAACCTTGCCTCCAGAGCTGCTGGGGCTGTGCAGCGTGCGGGTCCCCGTGAGCTGGGTTGGGGGGGGTGACCATACCTTGTTGCGCCATGCAGGTGCTTGGGGCGTGGGGCTGCAGGTCAGTGTGACAGATCTGATGAGTTTGGCTTTTGCAGGAGGAGGCAGGGCGGGCGCCAGCACCACAGGGTACAAGGAGACACAGCCTGGTCTGGTGTGGGGGGTATCTGGATGTGTGGCAGCACTAGACTGGGCTTTTGGGGGTGGCACAAGATTCCCCCATGCAAATGCCTTTCCTCCCTGGCCTGTTTTTCAGCCTGCATGACCAGCAGGTAGGGCTGAGCCCTGAGACACCCTTCCTGGACCCTTGCCTGCCT